TCACTGACCAAAACATGGTCTTTGAATTAATGGGGAACTTTGCCCTGTCATCTCAGGAAGTAAATCAAAACGGGTGAACAAGATCTCCACTGCTTCTTAAGTTAACGGTCAGTCAAACACAACTGAAATAGGTTCAATGTTTCAGTGGCTTGCCACCGAATTTTCCTATCACGTTCAATATTAGTGTGCTGCACGTAACCAACGACCACCATGCAACCCTAAACTTGAAAAATGCCAAAAAAATAAACTCATACCTCATTTGAAGCCTCCCTAACTTCAATCTCAGCCTTCATGAATAAATACTAGATATGTTTTCACCAATATAAGCGTATAAACCTTGTTAGGGTTGTAGGAACATGATGATTTGAGAAAAAAGTCTAACTAGGGTTGCAGGAACGTATGTAGGGTGTAGTGAGCAAATTTAATTTTTATTTTAAATGTTTTTTTGTCCTTAACCGTAATTATGTACAAAAGTAAAATATGTTATTCATGTTTAAAATTAGTATAGAGTGAAAAGAGAATAATGGGGTGCAAATAAAATCATCCAAAATTATTTGAAATTATGAGCGCTCACACACACATATATTTATACATTTAAATAACTAGTGACATGATAATTAATTTAATGCATGTACCAACATTAATATAATTAATTACCTGAAAGACAAGCTTGGACTTAAGGCCCTGTGAAAATGATGAGTTGTATCATGAACGAAATTTCTAAGGAACAAGAAACACATGTGTTGTACAGCAGATGAAGTACTGATTCGATCTTGGCAACCAGCGTTCCAAGTGTTCTTGAAGGCTTGAGTGTCGTCTTTGACACCATTTCCCACAGCAACAAATGACAACACATTGTAAACCTGCATCTTGGAATGATTCTCAGGGAACCCAATAGGGAAATGTGGTTCTGGAGACTTTGATTTTTTAGAAGATTGACTCTTAGGGTAGCTGGCCAGCGTCAAAGGTAGTGGCAATTTTTTGGGTGCATAATATAGTGTCCGTGACCAATTTGATTTTCGAGATGCTATGTGCAAATGTTTGTGTTTTGTGGAACCATAGTGTTTATTTTGAAACAAAAATATGGCAAACAGTACAAGCACAACAAATAGCAGGGTGAGAAAAGGAGAGTTTAGGGTTTAGGGTTTAGCATTCTCTAAATATTATTTGGCATTCCAAAAGTTTAGAGCATAAACAGTCGGACAATTCAGACAAAACAAGCAGCTTGCCATCCATGTGAGTGAAAAAATGAACTTTAGAGCACAAGACACAACACATTCTCTTTAGTAGAAGAATTATATGAAGGAAATGTTTTAGTCAATACTATAAACCACAAGCTACAAGCCTACAAGCCTTGATGACAATCCATATCTCATCATACAACTTTACTAGTAACATGTTACATGTCAACTAGATCAAACGAAAGAAATCAGGAACTAGATAAGGATCTGTATCAGTAGCACGAGCACTAGATAAATGGCGTCTGAAAGACATAGAGGACTTATCCCCAGTCCACAAAAGGAAGCGGCGGATATCCACTCTCTGGAGGAGGCATTAGAGATGGAGGTAGATTGCCCCATGACATTCCCATGCTATCTCTGACCACCACATCTGTGAATCAAAATGAAGAAATAAATTCTGTTAAAAACAAAAACGAAGACAACAATGGTCACCTACCGACTGTCTCAAGTCTAAAGCAACATATCATTTGAAGTTACCTGGCAAAGAGCTGCCCCCTACCAACTGGTTCTCTTGAAAAGTTGAAGACTGATTATTATCACTCAAACCTGTCAACACATTCCAACTCTTGAATTAGATACTGAAAACATATTTAATTCCTTCTCCTCACAGTAAGAAAAGGGGCATTGTTTTCAATTTCAGGTATCTTTACCTGGTGCCCCTTGAGTAACCATATTCTGCTGATTGTTCTTGGGATGAAGATATCTACAAGAATCTCCATATGGGCAAAATCCCTACAATCCATGCCAAAGAAAAAGAAATTGACAACAAACAAGAAACCAAAACATATAAATCCAAAGCCAAAATCAATTAAAAACCAAGTATCAAAGCAAACTCTGCCTCCAACACATTATTCAACAGAGTCAACACCTGAACAAATTAATTGGGTTGATTAAAGAAAAAATCAAAATCTGGATCCAACCCATTATAGTAGAAGTAGTGAAATCACTTGGGTAATCAATGAAAATGCGATAAGGAGAAAGCAATACCGTTTTGACAAAGCGGTTGCAAACCCCTTTTGTCAAGCTCTCCGTATAAGCATGACTGGGATCTGCAATCAACGGCAAACAAAGTTGTGATTATACATAGAAATGCATAGAGGGATGCTTGGTAGCTGAGAAAGCAAAGGCAAATGACTTAAAGAAAAGCTCAAAAGCAGAAGATAATGGTTGTATTTATGTACCTTTGAAGGAGTCGTACCATTGAGCTTTGGCTCTGAGGTGTTGGAGACCTTGAAGATGGCGTCGCCTCGCAGATGGGGTGTCTTGGAATTCCTTGTCACAGTATTCGCAGTAATACTTCCCCAACGGCATTGCAACTCTCTCTCTCTCTCTCTCTCTCTTTCTATCGAATTCGAGGTTTCTAACTATTTATAGGTTTTGGGCCTTTCGGCTGACAGAAAAATTTTCTTTTTGGTACACAGAGTTCTTCAGTTTTAACTGTTAACTGTTCAGTAAACTTTTTTTTTTCCTTAGAAGAAATCCTGCTTGCTTTAAATGGTAGAGATAAAAAACACAAAATTAATATGAAATATTGAAGCTTTCTTTGTTTTTGCGAGTTTAATTGGTGACCTAGAAACAGAAAAACAAAAACAAAAACAAAAAAGTTCAGTTAAATTTATAGTTTTTTTTTTGTTCAAGCGATATTCAAGGAGGGGGAAGTGGATTTTTCTTCCGTGATGCAAAGGCTTCATTGGCATTACCCACTTGGATGTCTATATAAGCCATCTTGTCGCAAATTCCGGCTCATCACTTAAGATGGAATCAAGAAAACCAATACTTGGATTGGAAGGTTTATTGTTGAGAGATATCCATCACTATGACAGTATTGTCTAAATATAGCATAGGCTGAGGTTGACACATGATTTCAACTTAGAATCCATGGGAATTGCTTTTTTCCTACTACAATGAGAGGAAGTAGCCTTCAATAAACTAATCTGCCAAACAACTAGATTACATTGGAAATACGAAACCAGAGAACATTGGTCTGTCTTCTAGAAATACAAATACAGATAAACATTTAGATAAATGCTGCTGTTTGTCTTCTATGTGATGTTACAATCTGGGGATACAGGGATAAGGCAATCATAATACCCATTGAGGTTTGGACAATACAAGATTCAATAGAATACATCTAAATCTGCTATTACAAAACAAGGTCATACATTGAGGTACATTAAATATAATGGAGACAAATAGCAGGCCAGGTGAACTCATAGCTTCCATATGGGACCACACTTGAGGTTTCTCACATCTCACAAACTAATCAGATGCCAAGAACGGGACTTGCTTTCTCGCATGCTCTGGGATCAATTTCATCAATATCTCCACAGGAACCCCCTTTAATTCTGATTGATAGACCAAGAGTAAGAACTTTGATACAAAGCTTAGCGGAAGAAAAAAGAAATTGTCTCTCAGAACAACATCATACCATGAGATTTAAAGTTAAATAAAGGTGGAAGGAAACGTCCATTCGGCAGGCGGGTGTTCAGGTCACGAAGCTCATCAAAAAAGGGGTGGATCAAGGCATCCAGCTGCGTTAGAAACAGAAACATGGTTGAAAAATTAACAAAATAAAGATAATGGGAATAAAAAATATTAACTGAATTTTCTATTACTAGCACATAATGAAATTTTCTTAATGGAGTTTTGTAAAAAGAAAAAAAGGGGAAAATTGGAAAGAATGAACAATGCGGACATTAAAAAACTCCTGTACTCACAGCTGTGCACCGCAAGTTAGGAGAGTATTGCAGCAGTCTTGAAACCAGATCAACAGCTTCTGGAGGCATACGCTTGTGGAATATCTAAGGGAATAACAGATATAAATATGATGTCTGGTTTAAGAAATATAAAATGATACATTAATATATTCCTTCATAATACCTTGTGCCACGGGTGAGCTTTGATTTGAGGGAACTTGAACTCCGTATAGTTAGGATTCATGCATTTGATTTCCTCCCTTGTTGGAGTGCCCAAAACCTACCAAGAGAAAACGTGAGAAGTGAATCACCACACGATAAAAGATTGAAGTCCAAGATGCCATATTTTCACCAAGTACAGAGAGTAATGCCTGTCCAACGCAAGCATCTAAACAATCCTTTTATCCCTATTCATTGATATCCAAGATTAAATATGGAACTTATACTGAACTGATAAAGATGTTAAAATTACCTTGATAATCTCCACAAGCTGGTCAACTCCACTCTCACCGGGAAACAGAGGCTGATGCAATAGAAAATTCCTTTCTATTAGAATTGTACAAAACATATATTTCAGAAAATGCAATAGAGCAGAGCAAAGCATGTACCTGTCCAAGCAATAGCTCAGCAAGAACACATCCAACAGACCAGACATCAATAGCTGTAGTATACTCAGTTGCTCCAAATATGAGTTCTGGTGCTCTATAGTATCTAGAGCAAATATAAGATATATTTGGCTCTCCTTTTACCTGCTCAATAACAATACAGTATAAGAATATACGCCAATGAAGCAAAAGCCAATATGAGTATAATTGGAAGAAAAGGACAACAAAAAAACAAAGCATACCAAAACTTTTGCACTACCAAAGTCACACAATTTTACTTGGTGGGTATGCGGATTCACCTGCAAATAATATGAACCAAATTTCAAACCTTTGCTGTTTTATTTACTCCATAACCACTCCCATCCCTCCACACACACACACACACACACACACACACAGGAAGGCAGTGCTGCACACAACTATATGGTTAACTACAAATTAATAGGCATATAGGGATAAGAGAATCAAAGTACATACCAGAAGATTTTGTGGCTTAATGTCCCGATGACACACTCCAATGCAGCGGTGAATGTAGGATAACGCCCTAAAGATCTGCCAAATATGGATGAAATGAGGCAAATCTCAGCTATCCAAAACATAAACCCTCAAGGGCAGGGAACAAACAACATGCTTTGAGGCACAATTCTAAGACTCAATTAGCCTAAGCCTTGGACTCATGGAGTAAGAACTTAGTCTAACAGTTGAATTCTTAATCTATATTTAAAGTATACAACATACTGTTCAATTGATGTAAATTGTCTTCTAAAAAGGAAAAAATGTTGAAACAAAGAAAACATCACCATATTCTTCACTTCAAATGCAACTTACACAAAGGAAAAAGAAAAGGCACACATGAAATTCTTTCATTGACATCATACCTGGTATGTGTAGAGTTTAACATATATCAGAGGCATCCGTTGGTTCAACTTGTTATAGTGTTTAATTACACGATGAACCGTTTCAGGAACATACTCAAGTACCAGGTTAAGATAAAGTTCATCCTTTTCAGTCGTTGAAAAGAAGCAATGCTTCAAAGAAACAACATTTGGGTGGTCAAGAAGACGCATGGTTTGCAGCTCACGGTTCTTGTACCTCTTGTCTTGCAGAACCTTCTTTATGGCCACAGTTTCACCAGTCTCTAAGCACTTTGCCTGTACACATAAAAAAATTAGAATTCCACAACAGGAAAACTGCTACTGATTTGAAGGGCCGTACATTTTCAACAATGAATTGTAAAGCAAAAGACTAGAATCTTACTTGGAACACAACTCCAAATGATCCATGCCCGACAACACGCTCAGCCATGTAACTAATTGTCTAATATTACAAAAGATACAACACTCCGTTAGAGTTGCAATTAAATAAACTGGGGAAAGAAAAAGATACAACACTACATCAACTGGAGACTAATGCGCACAGGAGAAACAATATACCTGCTTTGGCTGGCCATTTCTACCACCAATAGTTGTCACGATTATATGGCCTGTCTCTGTTCCGTTACCATCAACAACTGTGGCTTCCATTTCCTGCAGTGAGGCAGACCATGACTATTCAATAGCAGACACTTAATAATCCAAAAAATAAAAAATAAACTGCAAGGAGAAAAGACTGATAAACACTTAACCAATGGCTTACATACTTTGTCATCCCTAATTTTCATGTCATTCATCTCCTCTGGCAACTTATCCACACCAACAGCATGACCACTGGGTTCTCTCAGACCTGAAGTAGGTGCTACACCCACTGAAGCCATTCGTTGCAAACCTTTTATGCTCTCTTTATTGTTTTTCCCTGATTAAACCAACCATCAACCTACTGCAATCAATTAAGCAGTGAAAATTAAAATTGCGACTATGAAACTGCAATATGTACAATCTCAGTAGCATTTCTTTACCCATTATCCACAATCCATACTAAGAGCTACGTAAAGTTTTATGAAATATAGAAAACAGGAAATTTGTAGCCGATCAACTCAGCTTTGCTGAAAACTAAACTCATATTGACCGGAAAATAGATAAATACAGGAAGAAATCAAAATTTGTAAACCAAAGGCCACAACGGAAATTTTATGTACAGCACAAAAAAGAACTAAAAATGAACCCCACAAATGAGATGAAGCAAATAAAGAGGCAAGTTTTTGACCTTCTATACATACCCATAAACATATTAACATGAAACCCGAGATCCAACAATTAAAGCCAAACAATACAACCCAAAATTCACACAAGAAAAACCAATGAACTACCTGAAAATCCAGTCATAATTATTCTCTCCCTACCACACACACAAAAAAACATTTATTTTTTTTAAATTAAAAAAATAAAAGAGAAAATGGGAGTTCAGACAATTAATCCTGAATACCAAAACAAGCCGATCCAAATACCCAAAACGAAACCAACAAAAACCACCAAATATATCACAGAAAAAACCCAAAAAAGGAAAGAAAAAAAAAGGAGCTTTATAGGGGATACTCAGAGGAAGAAAATTGTACCGATGAAGCAATAATTGGCGAAGCTCAAGGCGGGATCATCTGAAAAACTAAGCCCGTCTTGTAGAATCAGAGGCGTAGATCCATGATCAGAGAGGATCTAGGTCTGTTTCCTCTTTTGGATTTGTGTGTTTGAGTGTTTTGTTTATTTTTGCTTTTTTTGTGTGGTGGTGCTGTGATGCGCTGGGGACAGTCAAAGAAGGACCCTTTCTTATTGGCTCAATATTTTGCAAGTTATTAATAATTTATTTAAATTAAATATTAATGCAGTTTTTAAAATAAGAAATATAAAATCTCATAAATAAGAAGCCTGTGGCTTGCTTTTTTGACCATTCAAACTTTCTTTTAAATTTCCTCTTTTTTTAGATTTTTTTTAATACATAAGATAAATAATTGAACACAAGACTTCCGTTGCAAGGATAAATACTCGTAACTACTTCATACAAAATTGTTAAAAAGCTCTTCGGTTCTCTTTTATTTTATTTTATTTATACCAATGATAGTTTAAATTAATATAATTTATCAAAAGAAACTCCAACTTGAATGTAAGAGAACGAACTCAATACCCAGGTTAACTGAGCTAACTCACACACAGTTTTAAAAGGGCAGGAAAGTAACAAATTGTAAAAGCTATTGATTTAGGCACCTTTTGCATAAGGGCACCCACATTTTCACAAGCTGGTTTTGCTTCACATTGATCAATTACTTTTTGTTATAAATATATATTACCTTTTCGCAGAACAGAAAGAAATAAACCATAAAAGGTCCAAATCCCAGATAAATTCTACCCAATTTTTTATCAGACAAACCTAACGCCGGATAATGTCTTTTTTGGGTGGGCATATCTGTCTTTTTGTGGAGGGTGCCCTTGTTGTCAAGGAGGAGCGCCCAGAGTGAAAATCCAACATGCGAATATGCCACAACACCTTTTGCCGCTAAAAGAAGAGGCCTAACCTTGAGCAGATCTCATGAATTGATAACCACTCATAATAACAACCAAAATTTCCAACTTTCAGACCAACAACGTGTCTGAATCTGAAACAAAGACACTAATTCGATGCCTAATAGTCAAACTTAATGAACAAATCAAGACTAATAAGATTGTGGCTAGCTCAAAGTCGTGCTCTCATATTAACTCCTTATCCTAATCCTTCAACAATTTGACCCACAATAATGACACATTTAAATACTTCCGTATGTGAAAATCTCTCAGTTTTATACATTTTTTTGTTCCTTTAAATATTTCGGAAAACATGTACAAAGCTTCAGACTTCAAGTCTTTCTTCCGGCTGCAAGCGTCAGCGACGGCTTTAGGCCTCATATATGGCATGTAGGCTGACACCGTTTGAAGTCAATGTTCCTTGGCATTAGGCACCACTCTGAGCTGAGAATTGGGGTGCTCGGCCAAGGGGTATTATGAGATCCTTCATAAGCTCGTACTGTTCTGCACTTATCTGGGTGTTCTCCAGCACCTATTGAGCCAATACCAAAATCGCAAGTACAGCTTAAGGTATTTGTTTAAAAAAGCCCGACTATCCGGTATATAAAATTCAAAATCCGAAATTTAGTATGTTAATTACTGGACAACATGATCATCGGCATTAACATCATTATTAATTTATCATTAGTCTATGCATCCTTACATTTAGCCGATAAGAAAATCTAAGACAGCTTACCTCCATCTTATTCTCATTGTAAACAAACAAGTTAATGAGAAAGAAAAGAGTGTTCTGCCTCACCTTGTGAAACAGCATCCTTCTATTTGTCATGTGAGGAGTGAGTGCAGGGATCCTACAAACAGAGAGACCCTCAAGGAAAAGAAGAACAATCACTTGCCACTGTTTCATTCTGAATGCTGGTATCGCATCAATAAAGGACATTGTATTCAACATGCGGCCCTGTACAGAAACCTCTCAGTGACAGCTTCCAAACAATAAATAATTCAATTAAATAGGTTCATAACAGAATCATGATACTAAACAATGAATTATGTTTATACAAAATTAAAAATAAGTTATCATAATCATGTCACACTGAAATCACAGGTGTGAAAACAACCAACATGGTAATCATTATGCACATACCAATGCGTTAGATAACCCTGGTTTATCTCACATCAAGAGCCACTGTAAATAAGGGAAAGCATGATACTAACATATATTTTCAATTGCGGGTTATAAAAAGGATGCTACTAGAATTCTATACAACAGATCAGCATCTTTTATATTTGACTAGAAGGGGAAAACTAATGAAGGTCCGTTCATATGATATTTCATCACAATTGAAACAAAACACAAAAAGATTCAAAATCAATACCATTCCTTGCTCTAAACTAGATATTGGTGTTGGAAGCCTGAGTTCGGAAACAACTCCTGGTAGAGCCCGAGCAAAAGATTCGTCCAGAGTTTTCTTGATTTCAGAAGAGCGACCACCAGCCAAGACAATCTTAGGAGGATATTCTCTCCCATTAACTGAGAGAAATTCTTCATGAAAACTTTCATCCCTCCCGTATATATACGCTAATGTAGAAGATGTTATCCATGTAAAGAGTGAATTCCACATTGTTGCAAAAGGTGATAACTGAAATATATGAAAGGTTGCATATTATCAGAGAAATAGCCTGACAATGATATTAAATCAACCCACCCCCCTCTAGAAGTAAAAAGAAATGCACTCTTACGGTTAAGCTGAAACCCTCTGGTGGAGCATCAAACCATGAATCCTCAGGGTCAAACAAATCCGAACATGGAATTCCAGGCTTTCTTGGCCACAGAGGAGCTTGTTCTGGTTCAAGCATATCAACATCCTCAGTAGGCTCTTCTTCATCCACACCATCTGGCAATATAATAATTCCAGCTCCCGAAACTGATATTTGAAAGGACACATAGAAAGAAACACTATTACATATCAAATTCAACAAGTGTAATTTATTACCTATTAAATACACTTAAACCATACAATGACATACCAGCACCACTGACATCAGATTCTCCAGATGCAACAGCTTCTGCTGCCTGGCTCAATGCCATGGCACAGGCTTCTGCTGATTCCAAAATCTCATTTCCTTGCAAGTCCAAACTCCCTAAAACATCAGCATCTTGCACTTCTCTAACCTCACAAATATTTTTACTCTTCGTGCTATCAATCTTCTCATCAAACCAGGTATTAGAGCAACCAACTTTATTTTCCACTGAAGGTTTGTGCATACTGCTAAATGCATCAGAGTATTCCATTATCTGTTCCATCTCTCTCACCTCACAAAGGTTTCTGCTCCCAGTGCTATCAATCGTCTCGTCAGCCCAAGTAACAGAACGATTAAGTTTCTTTGTCCCTGAAGGTTTAAGAGAGGATCTTAGCAAGGCCTCACTTGATTGCTCAGCCTTCTCAACAATGAACTCCTCTTTTTCTTCTTTACTGCTTCCATTCAAAACAGCTTGTGAAGCATCCGAGGTCGAAGGCACCTCTCGAATGCAAACATCATCTTTCTTGACATTCTTATTTTTCCCCCCTTTTGATTGTCTGGATTTCTTTACAGAATCATTCTTGTTAAGACCAACTTTTCCATTTGATTCTTTAAACTTGGTTTCAAAATCAGGCTCTCCTACACTTGTCGGGATTTTTGACACACTATATTCATCACTAGTGATTATAGTACTCTTGAAATCCATCTCATTAAAAATTATAGCCATCCCACTGCTCATCTTCGCATCTTTACCTTTGGACCCTACAATATAACATTCCTGAATCACTTTAACAACATTAACAGAAAACAACAACCCCAAAACAGTCGAATTCTAGCAACCTGAGCAAGCACTAGATTAGACTCTTCAACATACATACAATTCAATTTGATTTCACAAAAACAATAGACCCCATATAAAGATTTCAAGCCCACATACCTTCTTTGTTCTTTTTGGAACCCAATGGCTTGGATATCCTCTCTTTCTGTGGAACATAGCCTTCAATAGCATTAGATGGACCAACGGCGCCCAAATCCCCTATATGTGTTTCACTTTCACTCTTTTCTTCAATCTTCAACCTAGAAATCCTCAAGTCCCCAATACCCGTTTCAACCTTCTCTTCAATCTTCAACTTAGAAATCCCCAAATCCCCAATCTCCCCAAAACCCACTTTACTTTTATCAAAACCTACATCCCCAAAAGCCCTCAAGATCCTTTCAACCTTGCCAAAATCCAAGACATCGCACCTCTCCTCGCTCAAACTCTGAGCAAAAGCCTTACTTTCGATAACACAGCGTGAGGAGCAATACATGTAGGTCTCATGGAGGTCGTAGACCTTGTGCTCCTTGAGCGAAATGCGATAGTGACCCTTGCGGGGACGAGAAGATTCTGAAGGCAAGGCATTGGAGCAGAGAGGGTAGCCACAGAGGTTGGCTATGGTGCGCTCTGTGACGACGTCGTTGTAGTCGGAGCGAGAGATAATAGAGCCAGCCAAGTAAAGGTGGTCTTGGGTCTTGATGCCTTCGAGGAGAGCGAGTTGTAGCTTGTACACTGTGTCTTTCACTGAAATCCGTGGTTGCTGATGCTCTGGTTGGCTCTTTCCCATTCCACAGAGAAAGGGGCTTGCAGATAGTAATTAGGGTTTTCAGAGATTTGGGTTTAAGGTTTTGGAACTCTGAGGAATTTGAAGCTCTCTCCCACTCTCGTTTAGCCAATATTGTTCGAGTCCGCGATTTTTATACTGTTTGGTCAAACCAGGAGTGGTCAAACCGCGGGCATTATTTGGATAAAAAAATTAAAAATTATCCAAACCTCTTTTTTATCATGGTAAACTAAATTTATTGATGGTGTATTGATGGACATCTAACATTATTAGGCCCAATTGTCCAGGACAGTGACTCAATTTTTTTCCAATTGGCTTCATTTGCCCCAAATTTGAACTTGTATATAAAAAATTAATTAAAAAAATAGTTTAGCATCATTCATTACTCAGTTATTGGGGCAAAATAATTTCGATTCACATATCCAATATCCACACTAGGGTTTCATAGTATTATAACATAAATAAATTCTCCTGAAAAAAATATCGAAACCTACCTTATTTTTCCTCTCTACTTTCTTTTCCCTACTTCTTGATAAAGACAACTTCGGCATCCGAAGCTTTTGATATTCTTGCAGGAGAATGGTGGTATAATAGATTTGGATTAAAAATAAGAGATATTTAGTCATATACCCATTTTTAGCACTAATAATATAGATAAACCCTACACCATTTAATTTCTATAACCAAACCCTAAAAAAACCCAAAATATGATAGCTGGGCCTATTGAGTGTTTTGGGTTTTTTCATAAGATTTTGGGGTTGGGTTTGTTTTAAGAAATCAATGATAGTTTTGTAATTTAAAAGTGTTTGTACCATATCTGACCCTCCACTCGTACAACGACACGTGGATCTTATAAACTCGCCCAAGTACCCAAGGCCTCGGACAATCGGCATCGGCCACTGATGACATTGTCTCAAAGCTGCGAACAGCCATTACGAGCCCAACTCGTCTACAATCGGCATCCCCTACCGATTGTAGAGAATCAGTCTCGAAGTATCCGCCCAAAATATCTAAGGACTCGTGTCGACCTCAGGAGGCCCTCCCACGAGTCCCACATCGAAAATGAGCACTAAGAGCATACTAAATGCCCTCTATAAATACACCCCTTCACCACAGTACAGGGGTAAGACTTTTCAGCTTGACTTTTATACTTCTATATGGTCAACAGCAAGAGCTCTTAAAACAACAATCTTACTTAAGCATCGGAGGGGCTTAGGCTGGTTCCACACCGGTTCCATAGACCTTACAAGTCTCGACTTCTTTCTATTCAGGATCAGCATCCAAGGACAGGAAGAATCGGCATCCAATATTCAATCGATCTCTCGATCGTCCATCCCATTTGTAAGTTGCACTCATCTCTATCCGTTCAGATTTAGCGCCAACAAAAAGAAATTAAAGTCTTTTTGTTATGATATAAATGGGTTTTAGGTGTGTTTCTAAAGTCCATTTCATATAGGGTATTTTTATAATTTAGGCTCTTATATTGGGTATAATAATGAATCTCCCTAAAAACCAAAAAAGAAACAATCTTGCTGACAATTATTTATTTGGTCAAAAGAGTCCTCTTAATATTATGTTCCAGCCGAAGGGGGGGTGTTAATTGAATTGACTCAAATCTTTGGTGTGCTTTCAAGTGATCTTGAGGGGCGGGGTATGAAGAGGTGGGGTGTTAGTTGAATTGGCTCAAGTCTTTGGGGTATGCTTTCAAGTGATACAGGATGTGTGAAGTTTTCCCCATCTTCCTAACTGTCGCCAAATAAAGAAGATATTGGTACATAATAGAAAGTAATTAGGTTGGAATTAAATATTTTATATACAAATTTATAGGTTAAAGTTTTGGTGTATATAAACTATAAATTTAACGATCCTTTCTTTGGAGAAGAAACAAAGGGAAAAATAAGATATTACCAATTTTTTTCTTTTGAAGCATCAACATTCTTGAAATGGTGGTTTGGGATTCATTTTTATCATATAATGTAGAAAATTTAGTGGATAGAAAAAGAGAAAAAACCTTCTAAGTATTACGATTAAAATGTTAAATATATCTCAACAAAATCCAACATCTGACCAGGAAAAGGAAACAAAAAAACAAAAAAATCCAACGTGTTTTGTAAGCACGGTGCACTTATCACACCACCTCTGTCCTCTGGCTAAAACAATCACAGACTGGAGGGGGAAAAATATGGAATTATAACAAAGCAGAGAAATTGCTAACAACAAAGTAAAGAAAATGATCTCACATACAAAAATTTAATGTGTTTCTTCCCAACATGAAGACGGCAAGATAAAGATTATATAACTACTAAAGTACATCTCCTTTGATGATTGCATCCTGCGATGAAGTAACGAATTGTCCAAAAATCTTGCATGGTAACCACCCATTTCTTCAACTCAACCAGCCTCTCACTCTAGGGCAGGGGATGATCCCATGGGTAAATTCAAATTATTCACCATATTGAACAAAGGCTCCACTACTTTACAGATGAGGCATGCAATTAGCTTAATAAATATCCTGCAACATCGAAATCAGTTTCGTTTAGCAGTTCCGATCATTTTCTTCGAACCTCCAATCATCAAATAAATGCGAAAATTTAATGGGAGAACATTACCTCTATACTACGGATTTTGCTGGACTTGTCGGTGTACTTGAATTATCCAATCAACATAACCATTGGTTCCCCCCATCTGGTCCTCAACCAGATTGGCAAGTACAAGATGACCTTCTCGGGGCTGCTCACCTTGTCTTACAAGATGGCACAGCTGATAATAAGAAGCATCACTTTCTCTAAATTTCTTAAGTATCCTCATTAACTTCTTCGACATTTCATTATCGCGCTCATGAAGGGTAACCTGATCGCAGCCAAAAAATATTAAAATGGAAGATCTATTATATAAATTTAAACATCCATCAAAAGTTGACAAACAGGACTACGCAGAAAGTAATGATGCATGTTTGCACATGGGGGTGAAAGATAATCATACTCTTTGCCACGCCACCCCTCCTTTTGGACCTCCCATAATACTTTCTTTTTTAAACTGTCTTTAAGGGAATTTGACATACCTTTGATAACTCCGCTGCAAAGTCGGTCCCAAGTAAATTCTTAGCTATATCAGGTGGAAGAACTCTACCAAACCATAGAACATAGCGAAACCCATCATCAAATATGTAAAGGCCTCTGGAATCTAAGCTCTCAGCAACTAGTGGTAACCTATTCTCTATGCTTTTGAAGTCATCAGCCTCAGCATATGCCTGCAAATACAAGGAGCAGAAACAAATTTAACGATTGATAAATGACATCACTCAACTTAAGTTAATGGAATCTTATTACCTTCAAAAGATACTCATCGAGCCGTATCAGACTAGGATATAGGAGCTTCAACAGTTTTTTAACTGGTAGAGTCATCATTGTGTGGCCCGCTGCACAACGTTCATCAAGTGACACGTCTGCATACCCTCCACGAAGAGGTGCTGATTTACAAAGTGCTAATCCATACAAAGGCAAGAACTTCAGAGATTCTGGGTATATCATCTTCCCTCCCAAGCGGTGTTGTACAGCATAGAGATTTCGAAATTCTTTAAGGGCTTTGACAATTCTTAGCTGCAAAGAGTTCCGAGCATCTTCCAACTTATGGGACAAAGTTTTTTCAATTGCTGCACATTATTTCTGAAGAACTTGAGAAAATCGAGATTCACAATATATACAACACCACTAGAATAGAGTTTCAGTTACCTACCTAGCCTGGAAAGCAAGGTGACAATGGCACCTGTATCAGCCTGTCGGTACATCTCTCCCAGATCTGTAACCACCGGTGCTGCAGCTGTATGTACTCTAATACGCCTTTCTCCACAGGAAGCAGTGTATCTTTAAAATGTTAAAGACACTTCACAAATTGATAACCTTCACAATACCATTGTGGAATTGCCCCCAAAGCAACTTAAACTAGGCAGTCATATATCCAGATCGAGTATAATGAATGAAACAACCTCAAAAAAAGTACTTCGGTTCAGAAGAAAAATATCAGAAGGGAATGATTTTATAATGGAAATTTAAAGAGATACCAATAGTCATAACAAAAGTAGCATGCACAACTGACATTGACAGCATGATATGTGAACAATCAAAAGATAAACAAGCACCATACAGGCATGTCTACGTATAGTTAAAACTGAAGGATACAGCAAAGCAACTTGGAAATATACTGTCTGAATAGTTAGTAACGTCTCTTCAAGAGATAACTGCATCGCAAATGCTTTATCACAATCTACAGCTGGAAGTGCTAGTAAGTCGGTGGACCTTAGCATAAAGTTCCCATGATAAGATGTAAAGCGGACTCCTAAAAGTATAAACAAGTAACAAAACATTAGCATATTGTCCAACAGGCATATAACATATGTATGTGAGCCCAATTGGGGTTGTTCTGGAGAATCATTAATAGCAGACCTTTTCCACATCTTATGCGCATGACTGCTTCCCAGGCAGTTTCCCTAGTAAGGTCTCTGGCTAACTCATGTCTCAACTTCTCTCCATGAATTGTGGATTGAAAATTTGGGTAATAATACACCTGACCCCCGGTATATTTGGCCAGAGTACCTACATTTGGAAGACCAATAGCAGTTATATAGTATGCACTCATGACTGAACTTTTTCTGCATAGCACAAGAAGATCATGGGAGAGCATACATTAAACACAATAAGCATCACACCCTGGTATGGGCCTAGCATTAGCTGCTGGATAAAGTTTCAAATATGCAAATTCAGATTCTTTCTTCAAAAATATTAACTTTGATGAAAGCCAGGATCTTCTACTGATATTCCTCCAACTTCTAACGTCATCTTGATTGTTGGTTCTATGATAGTGAAAACAGAATAAGATAAAATCGCCAATACGTACCTAATGAGGCTATATCAGTGTACTTGTCACTGAAGGCATATACATCTACCCCTATCTGGAACTTGGTAAATTCTGCAGCCATCTGCTTGTAGAAAGGATCCTCTGGTAATCTCAGAGGATGCTCTTTATCAGTTCCATAGACACGAAGATCATCTCCACGCAACTTCAAGCGGCCAACACCAAGAGATGGCAGTGTATTCTGAAAAATTAACAATTTCCCCCCAAGTTGGCTCTGCACAAACACACACATGTGCAGAAGTTAATGCAGAGTAAATGAACAACCAAACTCTTAGAAATGCATAAAGAAGTAACTTAATAGAAAATTACTCGAGAAATACAAAAATTAACACACTACTCTATAATTGATTGCATATTTTAGCCAAAGGCAAAGTTCAAAATGGCACGTGTGAGAAAGCTAACAGACCATAAGCATAAGTGAGGCTTTCAGAGCTGGGCCAAAAGCAGACTCCATATTAACGTTGTCTTGAAACATGGACGGCAAGCTATCAAGGAAAGTCTCCACAACACTTCTTGATTCAGATAAATTGACAAGAAGATCATCTGGCAATGGAACAAATACGTCATCCAGATCTGAGACCACCATCATTTGAGGCTGAGTCAGAGAAGACTGCATGCGAAACCCACAGGAACTCAGCAGATACGTTGGGAGTTGGATGAAACAGGAAATAATACGCTATGACAATAGGCAGTAACAGAAAGCACATACCTTCATATTATAAAAATGTATTGTGCTGTCAAAAGTTGCAAACCCAATTTGTGTTCTGGGGTAGCCAGGGAGCTCATCCAAACATGACCGTATAGTTTGGGCCACAACCTGCAAAGAGGTAATCAATAAATTTCAACAATTCCAACAGAGAGGTAGACTGGCCTTGAGTAGTAATTAATCAAAGAGATAATAAAAATACCATAAATGGAAAGACACAGAACCGGCCATTGGGATTCATACTGTGAAAGTCCTTACATGAAATACTTATAAACAAGAGAATTTCAGTAACTCGATCACTCAAGACTTGAGTACTAGTTGCATGCAAACCCTATTCTATCAGTGTCATGTAAGAAAACACGCCCAAAGCTAGGCATCTGAACCAGCCTACTTTATAAAATAAAACCAGACAACATAAAATATATGATATTGTTTGTTAACAAGTATGCCGTTTCTTCCTAATCTCAACCAAAACACCTGTGGCATTATACTCTCAGGGGCAACCAAGAACAAAATACACAAGCAATACTGGATATCTATGAACCAGACCAGAGACAATAGCCCCCAAGGTTCTTTAGTTGTATATTAGTAATATTTCATAAAACAAACAGCTTGTCATAATGCGAAGTTGTGTTTAAGTAAAAGCATTAGAAAAAGTGTATACCTCAATCATACCACTTCTGACTGCTGATATGGAAACATCAATGAGGAAAAAATACAGCGGCGGCATAGGAGGCCGCACCATATATTCAGTTGGAGCAACAAATTCCACGCTACCCTGTGTAAGCTCGGGTCGCTGATCCAAATCAATTCTTCTGCCAGTGGCATCCAAATGAGCAAAGTAATCACCAGGAACTGAAGAAGAAAGTAAATACAATTATGATAGTTATTTCCAAAAACCAAACAGCTCAACACAGTGATTAAATTTAGTAAACAAAAACAAGCAGTATCCAGCAAGAAAACTTGACCCTGCATTCAGGTAGACCGTCTTTAACAAAAATACACCAAAGCTGTTGTCCATTCATCATGATGAATGGACAACAGTTTTGGTGAATGAATATAATAACTTTATTTTGGACTACAGAGCAAGCAGAAGTATTCCATACATATGTTGCAGGATACATTGCACAAATACCTATTTAGGTAAGTACAATGGACAACAACGAGTAAAATGGAAGGCAAACTCAGCTGCTTAATGTTACCCCACATAGGAATGCAAGAAGTTGATCTTAGATGCATATTGTGTCAACATTTCATCCTTCCACAGATGGTACATTTGTTTACAAAAAATAAGTTTAATTTATTCTTTGAGGGAAAGAAGAAGAGCTAGTCCATTTACCATCATTAAGTAAAGCACAGATGTTGCAACGCCACTTTCTTCCAGCATCTGTAAATGTTACATACGGATTCACATATGTCCGACATCTTCTACAGCGAATAATCCCGGCAGAACCGAAATTAACAATTGGAACTTCCTCCTAAGGAGAGAACAAGAAACAAAATAATTACAGTGAGTCCAATTTTAAGCAATTTTGATCATTCTGGGTATAGATGCACTAACCCCATCAGGTGGTTCAGCAAGTGGGCAAACAACCGCTCCCAAAGGTAAATGCCACCTTGAAGACAAAGACTGAGAACTTGGTATTGCACCGGTTGTAAGCCGTAGAAATCTAGGATGGCAATTCATGGGGTACATCTGAGCAAGTGATTTTGGCTCCACATCACCACTCAAAGGCCTCGGCATAGCTTTAGGGTCAAGTCCAGGTTCAATTGTTCCGGGAACAGACCCAATAGATAGTGAGCTGAAGTCTTCCGTCAAGGCTTGGACAGCACCAAGGGGAGGTCCGGAGCCAGGATGTTGCATGTGGTCTCTTGACTGGTAACCTAGTGGAGCTGCACCTGGAGTAGGTGGAGCATAACCTCCTTGGTGAGCAGCAAAAGGGGAAGATACTGCTGGTGGAGCAGCTGCATAGTTTCCTTGATGAGTAAGAAATGGAGACTGGATGGGTGAGGCTTGTGGATCTGCACTAGACTGCTTACGGGCAAATCCAGGAAAAGATGCTTGAACATTTGGTGGGAGAGCTGGGAATGACGAATCTGATTGAGACTGAAAAACATTCACACTTGGTGGTGCAGAATTTATGTTTTGAGGTGGAGCTCCCATTGGCACAGAAGGTATCTGCTGCTGCGGTCGTTGAAATGGTGCTTGACCTGCAGGAGGTTGAAATGGCAGTTGGCCTACAGGTGGACCACGTGGAGGGGGTGCTTGCGCTGTTAAAGGATATTGTGGGTTTGGGAAACGGGAGAAAGGTCCAACAGTCGGTGGGATGCTTGATGTTGGCGGAGGAGGCACAGATGGATCATTATACCTAGCTGGCGGGGTAGGCCTAAAAGGAGAGGTTTGTGGTCCAACTGCAGACCCAGATGATGAGAAAGGCGCATTAGTGTGTGGAGCAACTGGTGGAGTAGAACTAAATGTGGGGGCATCTGATCCAACCACTGGCCCAGATGATGAAAATGGCGTCTGTTGAGTTACATGTGGAGGAGGTCTAAAACCAAAGGCCTCCTGTCCAACCACGGGACCTGAAGATGAAAAAGGCATCATAGTCTGAGGAGCAGCAGCAAAAGGTGCAGTGGCAGGTCTTGTAGTAAAATTCGGACGACCAGGATTTTCAGTCCCCATAACTTTCGTTACAATCACCTGCTATTTCAGTAGTAGCAATGCTCTCATGACCTATACCTGCTACTACATGCAAGAGAAGAGGTTTGATATACCATCCAAGTAGGATTAAAAGTACTCACAGCATTGGGGTATGGAAACATATAAACAAAAAGAGAAGGACATTCAAATTTTTATTTTTTTAATGGAGAGCAAAACAATGGTGAGTGGGATCCATGCATCACAAAGAAGTACCAATGGAATAAGCAAATAATGTATTTGAGAATAGATCAAGACTCTCTATGTCAACACTAAAGCTAGTCTAGTCTCAGAAAATTCGTAAAGGAGCCCAAGAAAGAATGTCGTCTTGAATTCATAATCTTACATTCCTAATATTTGACTAGGCCCAAGCACCATCAACATTTCCTTTAAGATTCTACTGACAAAGATCAGTAACCACCCAATTCTAAGTCTTAACCCCTAAGGCCTCACATGATCACAGCATAAACAATGCATGATGGATCATGAGACACTGTTAGTAATTACCCTATAACCAATTATGAAAACCAAACAGGCACCAATGCGTAATCAATCAAGCTCACACCAAAATATTAACATTATGATTTCTAATACTAGGAATCATAATCCCATAATCCTAAAAACTGAAATTACAACAAAAGACGCGTAATTGAACATGCAATACATACACAAAGTTGCAGATCTTAATCATCAACAATCGAAATAAGCACTATTCAAACCCCAAATTTTTAGAAATTATCTATGTGGATCAGAGAGGATAAGAAAACGCACATGAAAAATAGAGCCAAATTTGTGCAGTATATGGAAATCGTACGTAAAACCCAAAGGAAATACGAAAGTGAAAGAGACCCAACTGGGATTGGTAGTTGAATCTCAGAATTTTGCAAATACTCACAGCAGGAAAAAGTGAATTCTATTGATGCACCAACAAGAGGGACTCGTTGGGTTGAATTAATCGTAGAGGCACAGCGAGATTCAGAGAGAGAGAGAGAGAGAGGAAGAGGAAGCTTACCTTTGCTAGAGAGAGAAACAGAGAGTCTAGAGAGAGATTGACAATCAAAGAGAGACGAGAGAGAGAGAGTGACTGGGGTAATATTTTTCGTCGACCTCAACGACGTCGTCCTCTTCTCGAATGATTTAGTATTCAAATTTGGGCTGGGCCGAATCGGATCTTTACTATTAAGGCCGAAAGTTGTTGGGTTGGGACAGTCTTCCTTTTCTTTTTCTTTTCTTCTTTTTTTTTTTTACTTTTTAAATCATTACTATAAGTATTGCAATTTTTTAATTTTTCCTTTTATTTTTGGCAAACGACTATGTAAGAGCATCTCCAACCGATATGTCAAAAGTGCCACATAGACATTTAACAGTTAGAAATAACATCTCACACACTCCAACCGATGTGTCAAAGCTGATGTGGAATGAAGGCTGAAGATTGAGATGTTATTTTTGACATCCCAAAAGTAAGATGTCAAATGAATATTTTATTATTTTTTCTTTTCTATTCTTTTTAATTAAAAATAAATCAACACTAAAATGTAATAAAATAATAATTTAATTTGACATATCGGGTGGAGTGTAAAGCTGTGTAAGATGTCAAATTGCCACATTAGCCATCAAATTTAAATTTGATGTTTGGTATTTGACATCTCCCTTGGAGATGCTCTAAGTATTGCTGAGGTTGGCAAAAAAAAATTGTAAGTATTGCTGAGGTGGCAATTATTTTGTCCAGCTCAAAATATAAATAGAAAGTAAAAATCAGGTCAAGTGGCTTCCTTTACTTGATAGCTCCATCTTCATCCGTCTCTCTGTTTCTATCTCTCAATTATTATTAGTTTCTTTCTCAATCTTCTTAATCTTCACCAGATTGATCCTCTTAAAACCTCTCATTTCGATCCAAATTTGTCCTGCGGATATTCACAAATCAGCTTTACTTTTCTATTTTGGAATCAGTTTCAGAGACCAAATTGACAGAGAAATGCTCCATTGAATTCTTCGCCAGAAGCTGGTAAAGTTTAAATTTCAATCAATTTATTCAACTGGGTTGTGCTTTTTTCTTTCAAAGTTCGAAAATTTATTGACCAAGAGCCTGGCTTTAGCTTCATCAATCCCATTATTGTGTTTGAAATTCTGCATCGAAAGCTAGTCAATGTGGAATTCAATCAGTTTCTGCACACGGATCTTGTTGGGTTTTTTCAGATTCTGAAATTTTGAGCAGAAAAATTTAGCAACTTGGCAATGATTTTTTTAATTCATATTTGGTCTCAGGTCAGGTATGACGTATCAAACTATCAGGAGCTTCATTTGCGAGAAATGAGAAATTAGTTTGAAACCAGTTTGCCAATTTGTTCGATCTCTCGTAAAGTAAGTGCTTCAAGGAAATTTAATTATTATTTCAATGCTTTTATTTATTGGGTTTTGATGATTAGAAGTTGATTCATATTGATCTTGTTGACTGCTGCAGATAGGGATACTCTGTTTTTGTGTATCTGATACTCTGTTTTATTCCTGAGAGTTGGTAGAAAACAAATCTAAGCATAATTTTTTTTATCTCTAGGTGATGCCCATAAGTGTAATCTTGAATGTCAATATTAACTGCTGTTTAGGACAAAGAAAATATCTAAGTTTTATAAGTTTTAGAAGATATGAAAAGGGTGGTAAATAATGTATTATTTCTGATTGCTCTTTGAGCTTAAATTTCAATAGAGATTATAAATTTTGATGCTAAGTTTCGTAGAGTGAGTAATATTTAAATTTTACCCCACTCACGATGTTGTGTACCATTTGTACTATTTGATACTATATGGCACAAAGCTAAATCAAGCAAAGTTTTCAGTCAACTTTTCACTATATGGAGAGCGCAGCACGAACTGATAAACAGTTGTTATTTCTCACAGTTCATGCTGATCAGCATACTCAACTAGCTGAATTTCCAAAATCCTACTATCCATATCTGAAGTTTCTTCAATGGCTGATCATCGAAAAGGTAACGTCAAACCTGCAAATGGGAAGGCATCAGGAACCACCACAGGGAACACCAATTCATATGCCATTGATCTCAATAACTTCAGCAAGCGGTTAAAGCTGTTATATTCACATTGGCGTGAACATAAAAGTGATTTATGGGGTGAATCTGATGCACTTGCCATAGCGACTCCTCCAACTTCTGAGGATCTGCGGTACCTGAAATCCTCAGCACTGAATATCTGGTTGCTCGGTTATGAGTTCCCAGAGACTATTATGGTTTTCACAAAGAAGCAGATCCATCTTTTGTGTAGCCAAAAAAAGGCCTCTCTTCTTGATGTTGTGATAAAGCCTGCAAAAGAGGCTGTTGGTGTTGAAGTTGTTATGCATGTGAAACTCAAAAGCCAGGATGGAACTGGACTAATGGATAGCATATTTCGAGCTGTAAATGCCCAATCGAGCTCTGATGCTCCTGTTGTTGGACACATAGCTAGAGAGGCCCCTGAAGGGAAGCTTTTGGAGACTTGGACTGAGAAGTTGAAGAATGCTAATTTTGAGTTAAGTGATGTGACTAATGGGTTCTCAGACTTGTTTGCTGTCAAAGACCAGATTGAGCTCACAAATGTGAAGAAAGCTGCATTTTTGACTTCATCAGTGATGAGGAGTTTTGTGGTACCCAAGCTCGAGAAGGTCATTGATGAGGAAAAGAAAGTTTCCCATTCTTCATTGATGGATGACACGGAAAAGGCCATATTGGAACCTGCAAGAATTAAGGTGAAGTTGAAGGCAGAGAATGTAGATATTTGTTATCCTCCAATTTTTCAAAGTGGAGGAGAATTTGATCTGAAGCCCAGTGCTTCAAGCAACGATGAGAACCTTTGTTATGACTCTACTAGTGTGATTATATGTGCTGTTGGATCACGGTACAACAGCTACTGCTCAAATGTTGCTCGAACCTTTCTGATTGATGCAAATTCTACGCAGAGCAAGGCTTATGAGGTTCTTCTCAAAGCTCAAGAAGCTGCAATTAGTAATTTAAAATCTGGGAATAAGTTAAGTGCTGCATACCAAGCTGCACTCTCAGTAGTTGGAAAGGATGCTCCAGAGCTTGCTGCAAACTTGACTAAAACTGCCGGAACTGGAATTGGCCTTGAGTTTCGTGAGTCAGGGCTTAATCTTAATGCCAAGAATGATCGAATTTTGAGGCCGGGCATGGTTTTCAATGTTTCTCTTGGTTTTCAAAACTTGCAGGCACAGACAAAAGACCCGAAGACCTCACTCTTATTAGCAGATACAGTTATTGTTGGTAAAGAGACCCCAGAAGTATTGACTCATTCAAGCTCTAAAGCTGTAAAGGATGTGGCATACTCATTCAATGACGATGATGATGAAGTAGAAGAGCGGGCGAAACCTAAAGCCGAAAGTAAAGGTGCTGGGAGGAGTGCCATGAGTAAGGCCACACTTAGGTCAGACAACCATGAAATGTCAAAAGAAGAGCTACGTAGGCAGCACCAAGCTGAACTTGCCCGCCAAAAGAATGAAGAAACTGCTAGGAGGCTTGCGGGTGGGGGTTCTGCATCAATGGATAGTCGTGGTGCTGGGAAGACAATTGGTGATCTGATCGCGTATAAGAATGTCAATGATTTTCCTCCTCCAAGAGAGTTGATGATTCAAGTTGACCAGAAGAATGAAGCCATCCTCTTGCCCATTTATGGAAACATGGTCCCTTTTCACGTAGCAACTGTGAAGAGTGTTTCCAGCCAGCAGGACAGTAACCGGAATTGCTACATCCGTATAATCTTTAATGTACCTGGCACCCCATTTAGTCCACATGATGCAAACTCCCTGAAGTTTCAAGGGTCAATTTATTTAAAGGAAGTTTCATTCCGTTCGAAGGATCCTAGGCATATAAGCGAAGTAGTACAGCTAATTAAAACCCTTCGCCGGCAGGTTGCCTCAAGGGAATCTGAAAGAGCTGAAAGGGCAACTTTAGTTACGCAAGAGAAGCTGCAAATTGCAGGAGCCAAATTCAAGCCAAAAAGATTGCCTGATCTATGGATTCGTCCTGTTTTTGGTGGTCGTGGAAGAAAGCTCACTGGATCTCTGGAAGCCCATGCAAATGGGTTCCGGTATTCTACTTCAAGGCCTGATGAACGTGTGGATGTTATGTTTAGCAACATCAAACATGCATTTTTCCAGCCAGCTGAGAAGGAAATGATTACCCTGCTGCACTTTCATCTTCACAATCATATTATGGTAGGAAACAAAAAGACTAAGGACGTGCAATTTTATGCGGAGGTGATGGATGTAGTTCAGACACTGGGAGGTGGAAAGAGGTCTGCATATGATCCTGATGAGATTGAGGAAGAGCAGCGTGAGAGAGAACGAAAGAACAAAATTAATATGGAGTTCCAGAACTTTGTGAACCGAGTAAATGATTCATGGGGGCAGCCCCCATTCAAATCGCTTGACCTTGAGTTTGATCAGCCCCTTAGAGAGCTTGGCTTCCATGGAGTACCTCATAAAGCCTCAGCTTTCATTGTCCCAACTTCGAGCTGTCTGGTTGAGCTGATAGAGACACCATTTGTGGTAATTACTCTAAGTGAGATTGAAATAGTAAACCTTGAGAGAGTTGGTCTTGGGCAAAAGAACTTTGATTTGACTATTGTTTTCAAGGACTTCAAGCGAGATGTATTTAGAATTGATTCCATTCCTTCAACATCACTAGATGGCATTAAGGAGTGGTTAGACACAACTGATCTCAAGTATTATGAGAGTAGGTTGAATCTTAACTGGCGTCCTATACTGAAAACCATCACTGACGACCCTGAGAAGTTCATAGAGGATGGTGGATGGGAATTCTTAAATATGGAAGTTAGTGATTCAGATTCCGACAATTCTCAAGAGTCTGACCATGGATATGTGCCTTCAGATATACAGTCAGATTCAGGTTCGGAGGATGAGGATGATGACAGCGAGTCATTGGTGGAGTCCGAGGATGATGGGGAAGAAGACTCGGTAGAAGACTCGGAAGAGGAAGAAGGAAAGACATGGGAAGAGTTGGAGAGGGAAGCAAGTTATGCAGACAGGGAAAAGGGGAATGACTCGGACAGCGAAGAGGAGAGGGCAAGAAGGAAGGTTAAGGCTTTTGGAAAGGCTCGGGCACCTCCTGACAAGAGAAATCTTGGTGGCAGCCTTCCCAAGAGGCCCAAATTTAGGTGACAGTTGTCTGTTTTAATCTTATGTTTCTTTAACTTATGCAGCAGCTTGAGCAACAGAATTAGATTTGAGTTGTATAACTCCAGTATTAGGGGTGTTCCATTAAGAGTAATGAGTTAACAAAAAGAAAAAAGTCAAAATGGGTTTTTTTTTGTCTCTGTTCCTTCTGCGTGTTAAAACAAACTTTTTTTTTTCTTGTAAGATGTTAGGAAAGAACAAAATTAAAGGGTTTTACATATATCCTTTTATCATACCTTTGTTTCACTCACTGATGTTGGTTGCTATATGATTCCTCTGGTGAATTTTGTTTTTGGTAATGTGATACTTGCAGGTGAAGATACGCCAAATGAGTAAACTTGGGTTTCTCTCAGTGGATCATTTATTTACAAGCAAAAAAGTTCCTGTCTTCAACATCATCTATTTAGTCCAGAAAAAGAACACACATGATCTATCTCAACTTGCACCGCTTTCGTTTGCTACTACTAGGAGGGGCTGGAGACTACCCAAAAGCCTTCATCTTCCTTCTCTCCCTCTCCGCCTCGCTGTCTGGCTTGTTCCCTTTCTCCCTGTCTGCATTGCTTGTTTCCTTCACCAACTCTTCCCGTGGCCTCCTCTGAATCCATGCTTCCAAATTCAAGAGTTGACATCATGATCAACATTAAAGATGATTCTGATAAAAAATTTCCCATTGTTGTCCTGTTGACTGGACTGGAAACTATTTCTTCTTATGGTGGCAACATGAAAAGGGATCATACTCCCATATTATGGGCAACAGAAGAGCTTCATTCTTCGGGTCAATACAAATCATCATCACAACTCTCTTTGAGTTGGAGGAGGGAGATCGTCATTTACAATTGTTGAATCCGTTAAAAGCCCTTCTCGCTGAAGTTAAATTCAATTAAAAGGAAATTGGTTAACCTATTAATCTGAAAAAAGAAAGGTGTATAATTAACTACTCCGTGTTTTTGGATCAACATAACAACTGTAAGCATTTCGGCAAACACGAGTTCTTTTTTACTTTTTGGCAAATCAAATACTTCCAACTGCTGAATTACGATAACAAAATGGGGCAATCGAAAATCTAAAGAAATACGAACCATAAAAAAAACGATAAAAGCTTTTACTTCCAGCAAGGATGCTAATCATGCTATCAATTTACAAGCAAAAGGTCAAGTCCTGTCTGCAACATAATCTATTTAGGAAGACCAAAATGACGAGGAAATTCCTTAAAAACAAACTAGTAGAAAATAAAAGTTCCAAGCTAGGTCAGGCAACCACTTCAATATAACGGCTAAGACAAACAAACAATCGCACAATCTATCTCAACTTGGTCCGCTTTGGGATGCTACTACTTGGAGGGGCTCGAGACTTCCCAAAAGCCTTCATCTTCCTTCTCTTCCTATCCTCCTCACTGTCTGACTCGTTCCCTTTCTCCCTATCTGCATTGCTAGCTTCTCTCTCCAACTCTTCCCATGTCTTCCCCAGCTCTTCCTCTGAGTCTGCTTCTGAATCTTCCTCTGACTCATCCTCCGACTCCACAAGCGATTCACTATCAGAAGCATCATCCTCCGATTCCGATTCAGGTTCCACATCAGATGGTTCGTAACCCTTGTCTGACTCCACTGAGTGATCAGACTCTGAATCAGATGCTTCCAAATTCAAAAATTCCCAACCACCATCGTCAATGAAGCTCTGTGGGTCATCAGTTATTGTCTTCAGAATCTGTCTCCAGTTCAGATTCAGCCTGCTCTCATAATACTTGAGGTCTGTCGTGTCGAGCCATTCCTTGATACCATCAAGCGCTGTGGAAGGGATCGAGTCAATCCGAAGAACATCCCGTTTGAAATCCTTGAATACAATTGTCATGTCAAAATTCTTCTGTCCAAGCCCAACTCTTTCCAGATTCACAATTTCAATCTCACTTAGACTGACGACAAGGAAAGGAGTTTCTATCAGTTCAACCAAGCAGGTTGAAGTAGGGACAATAAACGCTGAGGATTTATAAGGTACACCATGGAAACCAAGCTCTCTCAGAGGTTGATCAAACTCAAGGTCAAGGCCATTAAACTGAGGCTGCCCCCAAAGATCATTCACCCGATTCACAAAGCTCTGAAAATCCATGTTGATTTTGTTCTTCCTATCCCTCTCCCGTTGTTCTTCTTCAATCTCATCTGGGTCATAGGCAGACCTCTTTCCACCTCCCAAGGTCTGAACTACATCCATCACCTCAACATAGAATTGCACGTCTTTGGTTTTCTTGGTGCCCACCATAATGTGATTATGCAGATGAAAGTGGAGGAGAGTGATCATCTCATTCTCTGCTGGCTGGAAAAAAGCATGCTTAATATTTGCAAACATTACGTCCACACGCTCATCTTGCCTGGTGGTAGAAAAACGAAACCCGTTTGCATGAGCTTCAAGAGTACCAGGAATCTTTCTTCCACGGCCGCCAAAAACAGGTCGAATCCAAAGGTCAGACAATCTTATTGGCTTAAATCTGTTACCAGCTAGTTGGAGTTTCTCCTGTGTAACCAGTGTTGCCCTCTCAGCTCTCTCAGACTCCCTGGCCACAACTTGCCTTCGCAGGTTTTTAATCACCTGTACCACTTCACTTATGTGCCTTGGGTCCTTGGATCGAAATGAAACTTCCTTTAAATATATAGACCCAAGGTTCTTCAATGAGTTTACATCATGAGGACTGAAAGGAGTCCCGGGTACATTAAAGATGATTCTGATATAACAATTCCGATTGGTGTCCTGTTGGCTGGAAACTGTCCTTATAGTGGCAACATGAAAAGGGATCATACTCCCATAAATAGGCAACAGAACAGCTTCGTTCTTCTGGTCAATCTGAATCATCAGATCTCTTGGAGGAGGGAGATCATTTACATTCTTGTAGGCAACTAAATCCGTTAAAGCCTTCGCTGCAGAACGATTGTCACCCGACCCAGATCCAGCACCAGCAAGTCTACGAGCAGTTTCTTCATTTTTCTGACGAGCAAGTTCTGCCTGATGCTGCCTGCGGAGTTCCTCCTTTGAAATCTCATGATTGTCTGACCTCAGTGTTGTCTTAGACATCAACGCCTCCGTCCCATTAGCCTCACGTTTCGCCTTTTTAGGTTTTGGTTCTTCTTCTTCATCTTCATTAAAGGAGTATGCCACATCCTTAAGAGCCTTAGAACTTTTAAATGTCACCACCTCCGGCTTGTCATTGTTGATCACCACAGTGTCCGCTAGCAACAAAGAGAAGTTCTGGTTCTTTGGATTACTGCGACCACTCTGCAAGTTCTGAAAACCGAGCGACACATTAAACACCATGCCTGCTTTAACCACCCGTTCATTCTTTGCATTAATATTCAACCCAGACTCACGGAACTCAAGTCCAACACCTGTCCCAGCCGATTTTGTCAGATTAGATACAAATTCAGGAAATTCAGGAGCCTCCTTCTCCACCACAGAAATAGCTGCTTGATAAGCAGCACTGACTTTTTTCCCAGGCTTCAACTCGCCAATGGCTGCATCATGTGCCTTGAGAAGAACTTCATATGCTTTGCTCTGATATGAAGTAGCATCAATCAAAAAAGACCTGGCAACATTTGAGCAGTAACTCTTGTAGCGGGACCCAACTGCACATATGATCACGCTAGCAGAATCATAATAAAGCAACTCATCATTGCTGGCAGCACTGGGTCTGAGATCAAACTGTCCTCCACTCTGAAAAATCGGCGGGTAACAGATGTCAACATTCTCAGCCTTGAGCTTTGCTCCAGCTTTAGAGGGTTCCAGTATAGCTTTCTCTGTCTCATCCATCAAAGAAGAATGGGTCACTTTCTTCTCCTCATCAATAACAGTCTCAAGCTTTGGAACCACGATATTATTCATGACATTAGTAGTCAAGAAAGCAGCTCTCTTGACATTCACAAGCTCATCATTGTCCTTAACAGCAAACAATTCGGACAACCCATTTGTTACATCACCTAGCTGAAAATTTGCACTCTTCAGCTTCTCAGACCATGATTCCAAGAGATTTCCCTCAGGGACCTCCCTTGCTATGTGTCCAACAACAGCAGTATCATGACCATCAGCCTTCAATTGAGCACGAATGGCATGGAAAATTGCATCCATCAAACCACTGCCATCATCACTCTTTACCTTCACATGCATCACAACATCTACACCCACAGCCTCCTTGGCAGGCTTTTTTACAACTTCCAGCAAAGACACCTTCTTCTGGCTGCACAAGAAATGAATCTGCTTCTTCATGAAAACCATGATCGTCTCCGGAAACTCATAACCTACCAGCCAAATATTCAATGCTGAAGATTTAAGGTACCGCAAATCCTCTGATGCTGGTGGTGTTGATATTGCAAGAACATCAGAAGAACCCCACAAATCAGATCGATGTTCATTCCAGTGAGAATAAAGTAACTTCAATCTCTCACTGAATTTTTTCACATCAATGGAATAGGCACTTCCTGCTCCAGTGCTGGTCTTTCCATTAGGGGGTTGGCTATTTCCATTTCGATGATCAGCCATTAAGAACAATTTCTACATGAGACAAAGAGCCAACTAATCACTTTCAGCCAATTAAAAAAATTAAAAAATGAAGAAAAAAAAAATCACACTTTCTCAATATTCAGAAATAAACTCAAATAGTTTAGCTATAAAAACCCTAAAAAGCCAAATTGTAAATTAGGGTTTCGCGTAAGTTCGCATTCTATGGCCATCGCCAGTCTTAGAAAATCCAGCGAAACCCTGAGCATCATTGTTATCGTCCCCCTTTAATTTTCTATTCATAAATCTTCAACTCGATGAACAAATTGGGTTTTCCTATTTCCTTCCCCAAACATAGAAAAATACTGCGAAAACCACTTAATTCATGTATGAGCAGCGAAAAAAGAACAAGAAACTCACCTTTCTGAAACTTCAGAGATAGCCTTCTGCGAACTTCTGCGGTTTCGTAATGTCAATTAGGGTTCTGGTTTCGGACCCTAGGGCTTGGCGGCGACAAGTCCCCGATAAAATTAACCAAAAAGCAAATATATATATAGAGAGAGAGAGATAGAGTGAGAAAGAAAACTTAGGGTTTCAGAACTAAGGATGAGAGAGAGAGAGAGAGGGATTTGAAGGGGTTTGCTTTGGATAGTAAAAACGATGAAAATGAAAAAACTAGAGAAGAAAGGTTTTTGAACCAGAGTGTGTGTGAGTGAAAGATTTATGATTTTCGAGGGCTCTCGAAGAGGGACTTGAAGGAAACTGATTTTTCTGTTGTGACGAAAAAGGACTGGAGATTGAGCCTTATGACTTCTCTTGTAGGACGTTTTGTGCTGTCATTGAGATTTCTTAGAGGGGTGTTTTGGGGGATTTGGTTCTGTTCTGTCAGGACAAGGGGTTTTGAGCATGACGGCGTCGTTTCTTTGAGAGGGAAACAGGACCAGGTGCTTGGCGCTTGGCCTCGCGACGTCGTTTCGCTTAAGCGGTGGCGGGAAAGACATTGTGCTGTGTTGAAAATAAGGCGGGAAATCATGATTTGATGGGAATAAGTACCTGTGATGATGAGCGGTGAACCGTCTGATTCTCTGATTTTTCCCATTTTAAGTTTAATTCTTAAAAAATGCAATTTTATTTTTAATTGTAGCAACAACAAGATAAATAAATAAAAACAGTTAACAAAAAAAGATAAAA